GGGCGGGCGGGCCCGCGAAAACTGCGGGAGGAGTTCCCCGGCCCAGCAGCCTCTTCTGTGCCTCCCTGGTCGTGGGCCTCACAAAGATTTTTTTTTTCTTTTTAATTCTCCCGAAGCAAAAGGAGTAACATCTCTAGCTTGCGTTCCCCCCGCCGAAAAACTGATGAACTGATGGAAAAGAGCCTGTCTGGAGCTCTCTTAATTAAGTCGTTCTTCAGGCACATCCCCGTTCGAAAGTATGGTAGAACCTTGAGGAGTTTGATTTGATAACATCTTTGCTGTTTGAGGTTGTGGTTCAAGGCTTACTACAATATCAAACAACTTTCTTTCATAACTTTTTGTTCAGCATGGCCATTTAACAGCGATACCACAGCAGTATTTTAACCAACACGTCAGTGAAAGGCGGTGGTCAGGGGAAGGGATCGGTTATTAAATGATCAGGATATATTGAAATGCGCAGTTGACCTCAGATATTTCTGACTAACTCTGAACGATGTACATTCTTCTCCCTGGCCTTGACCACATTTTACATTATAGACCAGAAAACAAAGTACTAAGAAAGTTTGAGTTTTGCAAAAATAAAATGTTAGGCCAAATTTCATGCCTGTCTAGAAGTTTGACGTATATAAACTCACTTTTCCTGCCACCTGGACATTTTAAGCATGACTGAAGTATGTGATCCAGTGATATGGAAGTTGGAAAAAATCAATTCAGGTCAGATGGGCTTTGGGCTCCAGTTTTAGACTGATTTTGACAAGTTAGGGCTTTTGATAGTGTAACACCCATCTCTCATCTGTAAAGAAAACTGTGGACTTCTTTTCCTCAGGCTTTGCCTTTTGATGTTTTCTTTATTGGTTGGTTTTTGGTTTTTTTGGGTTTTTTTGTGATGGATGGTAGAATTAAGGCACAAAGAAACAGGAAAAAAAAAATCGATGTCCTGTGGAAATGATATATCCTCTTTAGGCTGTGCCTTTTAAACAGAAGCCTGATTTTAATTTTTGAAGAAAGAACAAGTGTCTTCTGAATCAAAGCAAATTAAATATTCAACAAACCTCTACAGAACAGTTTACTCCATCACAAATATGATGCTGAGTTCTTCACTTATCTCTAGGGTTATTAGGCATAATTTTGTAAGATTTATCAGTGGTAGGAAGGCAATAAGCCCCCTGGATTTCCACACAGTAAAATGTATTTCTATATATAAAATGTAGGACTGTATTTTTAACAGGTTGTTTTCCTAAGAACAGTATTGTATAAAAAATACTTTTGCTTTAAAATAAAGCTTGGTTAATGGCAGGCAAGAGGTGTTTCTTCCACCATGTGTCCTATCTGTATGTCTTAAATCTTTCACAAAGTTATTTCTGATTTTTAAACCTTTCTGAAAATATAGCCATAGGTTGGGATTATTCTTTGCTGTTTTGTGGCTTGTGTAGTTCATTACAGTGATAAGCGTGATCACAATACTGTTAACACTTCTTAAAGTTACAAGCAGTTCCAATTATATTACAGTTGGACAGAGAAGAAATATTTGCAAGCACATCTTTGCAACTAGAATTGGAAAATTAACTCCTTAAAAATCGAACAACTTCACCCATAGAAACTGAGCTTTTGTATCTCTGAGCTTGCTGCATGTTACCTACTTTGCTAGAATTTCTTCTCAAAAGCTATGTTGAAAGAGATTTAGGTGTCTGTGAATATTTGATATTTTATTTTGCATTTTATTTATGAATGCTTAGCGTTTACACCTGTCTTGTGTTCTTTGGGTTTGCTCATTTTCACTGAATCTTCACTTTATTGCTATCTCCCAGAAAATGTTGCTGCTCTGGGTGCTTGAATGTTCTTGAGATTAATCCTGCATGCAGTCCAGGTTCAAAATAAAGAGTATGTAGATTTTTCTGGTTATGAAGTTTTAGGTTATCTCTTTAAAAGAAGAATGCTGTCATCTACTCCATGCATACAAAGCACCTAGCACAGGGGTGTTCTGACTTTAAGTACTTAGCTATCGCAGTGTGAGCAGTAACTTACTAAAATATAAGAGGAGTTCAGATTAAACATGGGGAGAATTTGTAAGGGTAACTGACAGTTTCTGCAACTCCATTGCTGGAGATTTTTCTCAAAGAACTTGTTAGCCATCTGTCCTGCACAGTTCTGTGTTAGTGGTGCTGCATAGGTTGGAATACGCACTGGAAAATACTCCCTTTTGCGCTTTGTTGTTTGTTGTTGATGCTGTGCAGTACAAAAATTGAAGTTCACAAGGATATATATGCAATTCTGTGCAACTGCTTATAGTTTGTCTTTCTTCGAGTTTCCATATAATCAATCATTCTCTTCCTGTGGCACTGTATTATTTAACTGGTTTTAATTTTGATTCCCATGAATAGGAACTTGGGTTCTTTATTTTTCCCCAAAGAAATATTTTTCCAGTGAGCAAATTCACGTTAGTAGTACTCCACAGATGCGCAGGCATCTTGCTGCTATGAAACATTTTCACCTTTCACACCTCTCAGTTATTACAGGTCTTGGATAATGCAGGGGTTTTGTAGTTAAAACAGGTTACCTAGTACAACAAATGGTAGTTCAGAGAGGTTTGTGTATTAATAGTAAAATGTATTTTTTAAATGGAGAGCACAATGAATTTATGCACTTCTCTCCTTTGGGGAGTTGGGGGAAGCATCATTTTTCTACTATCTGAGAGGGTGTAGGGACAGCACTTGGTTTTTTGGACATTACATATTTTTATTCTGTTGCAGAGCCAGCAGACAAAGCATGAAATTTTTCAAGAGCTATACCAAAGCAGTTATGACAGTTCATTTGTTAAAAATACTTCTGTTTTACACCCTTTACAGCTGAGACATTAAAGTAAAAATTCTGATTGTATATTAGGAAAAATACAAACCAATATTACATGGAAATGTATTGGTTTAGGTTTGTGGCAGCATTCGGTGTTTTTACATAGCAGAAGAAAGTACATGCTCAAGACCTGAAGAATGACCTGAGAATTCTTCTTACGTGTATCACGTCCATAGAAACATGCACAGACTGTCCACTGTTTATAACCACAACATGGTTATAACCAGGGTGTTTTCTAATAGAGATTATAAAAAAAAAAAAAAAAAAAAATTGGTGCCACGCTAAAGTGGTAGATAAGCACATGTTCCTTCAAGGTTTTTCTGGTACTACTTAACCAGTTCTTAGATTGTGGCCTTCCTGCCCCTAGAAGAGATCTTTTCTCATATATTTGAGTGTAAAAAGTAGATAGAGAAAAGGAGAAACAAAATATACTGGAAACACTACTCAATGTTTTACTTTTCCTGCAAGTATCATCCTCTTATTGATGTAAAATACCTAAATACATATACCAGCTTCTAAATGTGCATGAAATTTGCATACCCTTGTGAGAAGAAGCAGCAGTGAACAGTTACTGTGAGCAAAGCCCCAATAATTGCACAAAGATTGCAAATTGAAGAAATTGATGGAGTTATGGAAGTATTTTCCAGAGTTTGTACAATAGTTCTTTACAAGAATATTTAAAAAGATGAAAAAAACCTATTTAGTTGAGATTTTCTGTGGTGTTTTCCTTAGAAATAGTTCATATTTTTCCTGTATAAAATGGTAAGAACTGTTAATATGTAAGAGCTGAGTAACTCTTTCTTGTTTCATTTTCTTTGATAAAAGTTTTTTTTTGTTATTTTGTACTGCTGGGATACACATTAACATTTTGTTTATTTGTCTCTTTTCAAAGCAAGAAGAATTCTCTCAGTATAACTCATTCCTGTATTGGAGAGCACCACTGCCTGCTATTGATTTGTCTGATATTCAGAACCTAGATGGAGAAACTCCACTGGAAGCTAAAACTCCTTCAAGGACTGATACCATGGAGACTGAAATGGAGACATGATCAGTTGTTTCATAGTTGTACATCTGCTCACAGGAAACTTCCTTCTGTTTGGAGTCAGGTTTTTTTACTTGTGAGAAAAATAAGCGTGCTTCTGCCTTCTTGAAGAATCAGTGTTATGTCAGCCTGCAAAAGCAAGTCTGAGTTTTCTAAGTGGATGAGAAAATTAGAACTTTTGGATGAAATTAAAAGAAACAGATGGATATGTTACGTTTCAAAAGGAAATGGAAAATAAGTTTGCCTGTCATGAAATAAAAGAGGTAGCTGTGATATCTGAAAGCAAAATATGTAGCTTGTGAATTTATCATAAGGTACATGGACTGTAATGATTTTTAGTGTGTTTGTTCCCATGTCATAGCTAAACCGAAAAATAAGAGCCTACAAAAACCAGACAAAACATGGCCTTTTCTATGCAAATCAAAACCAAGTGTGGCAGCTAGAGGGAAGGAAAAGGGGATCTTGTAAGCTGCCAGTGTTCTGAAATTTTTTCCCATTCTCCACGTGAAGAAGTTTTTTTACTTTGTCTTTTTCACATTACCCAAAGCAGTGGGCAGCCAGCTTTCAGGTTTTTGGTCCATTCTCAAATTAATGCTATTCTTATCCTTTGTGACATTAGGTCTGAGTCAGTCAGTAACATTAAAATGGCAGGTGTGTGGAGATAACATTAAGAAAAGTTAATGCAATATAAAATTGCCACATACACTTTTTCGAACTTAACTGACTGAGGTGTAGTTTTTGCAGACACTGTAGATCTTGGCAAAAAAATTATAGAGAAGTTCATGATTTTTTTCTTTTTTTAATGTGAAAAACTTAATGCTTGTCTTTTGTAATTTATTTATCAGTTGAAGTACAATTAAAAATAATGAAGTTATATGACTGAAGTTGTATGGGCGGACTATCAGACTTTGCAAATGTGATTTGCCTTTACGG